CCCTTTTTTTTTTTAATTTTTTAGCTTGCATATAAAATGATTTTTTGCATATGAAACCTATAGTAGCATTTAAGAGAGATAAAAATAAGACTGAAACTAGATTACATGCATATGTTTGTAATCTGATTTTTAAGGTAATGATGCTGATAATTGTGTACAGAGACTTTATCAGAAAAATAATAAATGTGAAAATAATGCTACGACTCCTAGGAAATTATAAGTACGTACAAATTTCAGTTGTGTGTTTATCTGATGGTTTCTATGTTACTTTAAGATACTACATCCAAGAACGGCAATGCCACCAGCAAGCCTGAACCCATTCCCATGCAGCAAGGAGAGCGGAAGAAAAGAAGGAAAAAGAAGAGAAAAGAGCCCAGTTTGGCAGCCAGCACCTTTGAAGGTATATAGACCCATCATTTGACATTGACGGGTATTTTTTCGATTCGGCATAATCGTGGCAAATTTTGTGTAGGCTTTACTTAGTTTAATTATACTTTGACTTCAGGAGTCATGATTTCAAAGTGTTTTTGCAATGAATTTAGGGTATGCTATTTGCTGTCTATTATAATGTAACAGTTATTTTGGTGACACTTTAATAGTTTTTTTTTGCCTGGTAAATGTTCCCATGAAAGGTAAAAAAAAAAATTTGATTATATGTTCTACATTGTATAGTAAACTCAAGTGTCTTGTTTGTATAATAAAAATTCCATAAATATCCTTCTCACAGGGTAAAAAATACATTGATTAATTCATGTATACTACTGTAAGACACGCAGTTTTTTGATTCAAAGCTTCTTTCTAGATTTGTACAGACTGACAGAAGAAATACTTGGAGAGGGAGCATATGCCTCCGTCAAAACATGTGTTAATCTCTACACAGGGATCGAATATGCTGTGAAGGTAAAATTTATTCCTTGTTACAGTGGGTTTACGAAGAACAGATGTTAGAAGTACGTGAAGAAACGTACGACACTAGTGTTGCTGTATCTGTAAGTCATTTACTTAGGCTTAAAGTGGTAGCTTCAGTGCTTAAACAGGGCAGTTGGTTATCTGTTGTAATACAGTTAACATTAATAATTGTTTTCGAACAAGGTTGTTGTTTTTTTTGAAAAAAAATTGTTCTATTTTAGAAATTTAAAATTTTCGTATGTTTTTATATTTTAGATTATTGAAAAAGAACCTAACCACAGTCGGGCACGTGTGTTCCGAGAAATTGAAACATTCCACCACTGCCAAGGGCATAAGAACATTATCCAACTTATTGAATTTTTTGAGGAAGAGGACAAGTAAGTCAATCTAACCTTTTCAAGGTCTTCAAACATGCTGTTTATGTGGATGAAGATCTAGTGAAGTTTAGAATTAGTTAGGATACAATATTAGGAGATTATTCCAAGTAGGTCTATGCATATTAGGTGAATTTTATCTGATAGACTGTATGCTAGTGATAAAAAAAGTACAAAGATAAATCCTTACTTACAATAATATCAAGTACATATTGAAGTCTGTCTGTCTGCCATGAGGTATGAAACATTTATATTGTTTTAGGAAATATTTCATATGTAACATAAATTCCCAATTATTATAAGACTTTTTTTTTTTTTTTCTGTTTCCTAAGAAGCGAAAATTAGCATATTTCAAATGTATTGGGTATTTTTGTGATAAATCACACAATTCAGGTGTAGTTAAATTTATATCTTTTTTTTTTTTTTAAACACTCATATTTTATGTGTTATTGAACAGTGTGCCGTAATTTCTTGTATTCCAATTTCTATTCTTAATTTTACAGGTTTTATTTGGTTTTCGAAAAAGTTTGTGGAGGTAAGCATACATTCTATATACTCTATGCTGTATACATGTAGAAAATAAAACAAGCTTTCCAATACACGAAAGTTTTAAGTACTACATCAAGTCTTTGAATCTCTTGTTTATCATAGTGTTGGCAAATTTACTATGTACAGATTTCTTTTTTCTTCGTGTAGGATATTTCCAAAAGATGTCTTTTGAGCTGTTTTGTGTTAAAACCTAATTGTAACAACATCATACTTGTGCATTTTCTGTCTTTAATAGAAAAACAAACTCATTTTCACCAGAAGAGATTGTGGATTCTTTGTGTTGAAATGACAAAAAAAAAACTTTTTTATCAGTTAGAGGGTTTTTGGATCCAAATGTATTCTTTAGGTTCCTTGATACACCTTAATCGATTGTGCCTGGTGTCAGAGAAGGAATGTTGACTATAATTACAAACTTATCACAAATATCTATATAATATGCCTATTTAAAATTAAGTGTTACAGAAGTGTTTGTACTTAAGATATCTGTGAATTGATGTCAGTCTAACAAGTCGGAATGCTAAGTGATGTTCATATGAACAATAAAGATACTTTTGTTCATTGTACAGTTCATTTGCATAACCTCTAGAACCGCTGAAATACATATCTACAGTTTTTTCAGTATCTCTGTATATTTCATCTACCATTGCTAAACGAGCCATATAAATGAATAGTTAATTCCGACATTAAATACGTACCATGTTCGTAGCGTGTCCACTTTGACCCCCATCAGTGTACATAGGATTAATAACGTTCCCATGCTGGGAAGGTCTTTTTACACTAATGTACAATCAAATAAGACTTATCAGTAACTTCTGAAGAAAGAAAGCTAACGAACTAGATATGTATTGAAAATTAACCCAGTAATTAATGTGGTTTTATTATACTGTTCTAATCGAGAGTATAAAAACAAAAACCTACAATGAACAGAATGCACTGATTTATTATTTGATTACTCTTGTTGTTATTTTAATTTTTGACTGTAATTCCAATAATATCTCGCAAGGATCAGCCCAATTAGGATATTTAGGTTTGTCCTAAGTCCAAATATTAAGCTAACAATGTATAGTAAGTTAGAAATATTTATTATATAGGATGAAAATTAACATTGTTAAGAACCACTTGAGCATGGTCATCAAAACTTTAAAGTGTTGAAAAAGATGTACGAGTGTAGTAAAAGGCTCCTACCCATTTTAAAGTCAACTTATTGATAAATTTTATTTTCCTCTTTATATAATGTAATGGTCAATCCCACTATTCGTTGGTTAAAGGGTAGCCCAAGAGTTGGCAGTGGGTGGTGATGACTAGCTGCCTTCCCTCTAGTCTTACACTGCTAAATTAGGGACGGCTAGCGCAGAAAGCCCTCGTGTAGCTTTGCGAGAAATTCATAACAAACCAAATCTAGATAGTTCTGTATTTTGAACTAGATGAATTTGAGTGTAAATATAAACTTCAGGCCACTTGTATACATGTTATGATTTAAAAGTTAAAATCAAATTGGACAACTATTGTGTAAAATACTTATTAAAAATTCAGTAAGACAATGTTAAAGTTTACACAGTGCTTTAAAGGCACCAGGTCTTATGTACCAACTTCTACATGTTTTGGTGGGTCACAAACTCTTCGTTATCAGAAAGGACATTTAAAGATACCAGGCCTTACCTAACAACTTCTACATGTTTCAGTGGGTCACAAACTTGCCGTTATCAGAAAGAACATTTAAAGGCACCAGGCCTTGCGTAACAACTTCTACACATTTCAGTGTGTCAGACTAACCGTTATCAGAAAGTACATTTAAAGATACCAGGCCTTACCTAACAACTTTTACATGTCTCAGTGGGTCAAAGACTCGCCGTTATCAAAAAGGACATTTAAATGCACTACGCCTTACATAACAGCTTCTACACGTTTCAGTGGGTCACAGACTCACGGTTATCAGAAAGGACACTTAACCCTTCTGATACAGGTGGGTAAATTCTACACAGGCCACATTTCCGAAAGTAACCATAAAGCAGTTATACTGTAACTTTTTAAAGTGTACATGTATTTTCACCAAATTTTGCAGATTATCGGTAAACATTACGAGGCATTCATGCACGAAGTATCAGATTTTTTAATTAATTATTTGCTCATGCAACTTTTTTTATTTTCGAATACTGACTATCCAACATGCAAAGTAATTTTGATTTTAAGATTTAAAATATTTTTATACATCAGATTTCACATTCAAAATCTCCATAACCTCCTAATATCCTCCAGATAATTATCAAACGTTTTGTTTTTTTTACAAAAAACTTTACTTAATTTATTTTCCTTATTGTATCTTTGTATGGGTTTGGTTGATTCTACCGACCTCATAACCATCATTAGAAAAATAGGAAATAGGTATAAGTTACACTTTTTTTCATTCTAGACTTACTACACATTATAACACGAAACCACAATAATGTCTTGCATTACCTGTTAAAATCTACCATGAAAAGAAAGGATTTCTCATATAAATACTTTACAAAGGCTCGGAGAACATTCTGAGCTTTTGATTGATTATTCACACGCCACAGACAGAAATAGGTGTATGTAAACAAGTGTTTCTAAAAAAAACGGGAAGAGGTGGGCAGGGCCAATGTGTTTGATTCACTAAATGTAGCAATATCTCGGCAAATAGAAAAGATAGGAGGTTCTTATTTTATATTCTAGCTTGTCAATATCGGTAATATGAGTTCCTAATTTGTAAGAAACTATATATTTTGTACTTGGACATCTTAAACATCTAATCTGAACCAATGCTGCATTCAACATACCACATGACACGCAAAAATCAATATTTAGGTGTTTTTTTTTTAATATTTGCTTTTAAATTAAGAAATTAACTTGTGTATAATACCAAAATATGAAGTGTAATACACAATTTGATACCAAACTTATTGATATACATTCATAAAATGGTAGTTCAATAAAATTTTGAATGTAAGTCCACAAAAGTGATGACATGGCCTTTGACCCGTGACCATAGGAAGACCCGTCTCGGTAGGGTTGAAGGCACCAAGCCTTACCTAGCGACTTTTACATGTTTCAGTGGGTCACAGACTTGCCATTATCAGAAAGGACATAGCATTGGAATCCTTATTGTATTATTTATCTTACCTATTGTTTGCATAATGTGAAAAACTTTGACAAATCAATTAGCGCAAATGGTGCTACTGTCTATTTATTTTTCTTGTAATATATATATATTTCCAAAGAAAAATATCTGTAACCTATGGACCTGAATCTCTATTTAAAACCAAGTTCCTTACATATTTCTAATGATTGTTATTTTTTTGGTGTGTATTTATTATTCAAATATTTAATCAACTTAACATTGTTCCAATTAATAGCCATTTTTCTTTAGCCGATTTATGTTCGTTAAGTTTAAATTTTTACGCAATATACATTAGGACACCGTTACAATCTATATTAAAAGAAACAAGTGGCAGCACCATTAATGCTAATTGAATGGCTTAAGTTTTTACATGATGTAAAAAAACTGGAGAGATGTGTAAACAATATAATGTAGAAATTGTTTAGTAAGGCCTGGTGCTTGTAAATATAACTTATTTAACTTTTGTCTTATGGAATTCTTAATAACTCTCACAATTTATTTTAGGTGTAAACCTAAATCTGTTACTTGTATTGCATAAATTGATAGATCAAAGCACAGTTCAGCTTAGATAACCAACTTTAAAGCCTTGAATGATATTGTCTGGACATAAAAGAGGGCCTCCTAATTGATATTAGGACTCGTGTTTTCTTGCTATTTATTGTTACTGATGTTAATATAGATTTAGACCTAATAGCCATTTTTCTTTAGCTGATTTATGTTCGTTAAGTTATTGTACAGGTTTAGTTAGGTTGAAAAGCGGCATGCATAAAATTTTGATTACTTGTACTAATAAGAAAGATATAAATGATGTTTCAATTTATATAGTCCCCCCCCCCCCTTCTAGGTTACCTATTGAATATGGTAGTGGCCTATAAATAGAATTAACCTTTTGTATGTTTATTCTAGATTCAAATCCTAATCGCATGATCTACAAGTTAATATACAACATAAATAAATGAAACCCTGCACTTGCAATGGTTTTGGGCTACAAGATAATCAATTCATGACGTGAAAATACAAAACCTTGATTAAAATTCAGAATACACTCCCATTTATTACTGGTTGGAAATTATAATTATTACAACAATCCTTTCATAGATTTGTTTACCCAAATTGGGCACACATTTGTATATTTTAATGTGCCCAGTGCGATTTTTAGAAGCCTTTCAGCAAGCAGTGCCCCGTCATGGATATATCTATTAAACATTTCAACCAATATTGCCCTGTCATGGATATATCTATTAAACATTTTAACCAATATTGTTAATAAAACTAACATTAAAGAAATAATAGGATATTTCTTACAGGATGCAAAAAAATACTTATTTCATGTTCTATCACAGATTCCCTGTCCTTTAAAGCATGGCATCTTTATGTGTAAAATTTTATATAATTTGCCAAACGGTATCTAATGACCAGTGAAAGCTCATTAAATGGCACTGATGGTAAGATCTCGGATTAACACAACATTTGAGATATACGGTAGCATATGTCAGCCGTTCATCTATAGTTGTTTAGTGGGACGTTACAGATGGTACGGCAAAAATCTAATTGGATTAAAAACATCATATAAGAACTTTACAGTTTGTGTAATGATTTGAAAATAATTGAACCATTGTGTTCCTGTGTTTTAAGAAAGACTTGATTTTACAGGACCAAGTAAATCCCGAACTTGCTGTACTAACCGTGTAATTAAAGTATTAAGAAAGACTTGATTTTACAGGACCAAGTAAATCCCGAACTTGCTGTACTAACCGTGTAATTAAAGTATTAAGAAAGACTTTATTTTACAGGACCAAGTAAATCCCGAACTTGCTGTACTAATCGTGTAATTAAAGTATCAAAGTTCATGGTTATTCACTTGTTCCACTTAGAATTCAAGAGAAATAATTTAAAGCTACTTTTTGTCTCCTTGTCAAAGAACTTTTTATTTATATCTTACTTAGGTCCACTTTTAACTTTTTATTCATATCTTACTTAGGTCCACTTTTAGCTCACATTGAGAAACGGGTCCATTTTACAGAGCAGGAAGCCAGTATGATAATCAGGAATATAGCAGAAGCTTTAAAGTTCTTACATAAAAAAGGTAGAGTTTAAATTATAGAAATTTGTGTTATATGTAGTTAAATACAAGACAATTGTAAAGAAGCTGAAGTTAATATAACTGTTATTGAATCTAAATGTGATAGTGGCTTCAGGTGATATTCTGAATGGCACATATTATTTCGGTGGTGAAAAGCCTCATGATAGGTGTAAATCTATTCGGTTAATATAGAATTAATAATACGAAGTTATGAGAATATATAGTTTTTCATTATTAATAACCCTTTCTTAAAAAATTGTACAACTGATAAATATTGAATAATGATTGCTTTAGTTCATTTTTATTTAAAAAGTAGTGTTTCTTGCAGTGATATTTTTCAAATCAACCAGTGTCATTGGTTCCATTTGTAGGTATAGCACACAGGGATCTGAAGCCGGAGAACATTTTATGTGCCAGTGAAGACCAGGTATAGTTAGATGCAATATAGTTTGTTTTCTCCTTACTTAGGCCCGGCATGGCCAGGTGGTTAGGGTGCTCGACTCACAATCTACAGGTCACGGGTTCGAATCCCCGTTCCACCAAACATGCTAGCCCTTTCAGCCGTAGGGGTGTTATAATGTGATGGTCAATCCCACTATTCATTGGTAAAAAAGTAGCCCAAGAGTTGGCGGTGGGTGGTGATGACTAGCTGTCTTCCCTCTAGTCTTACACTGCTAAATTAGGGACGGCTAGCACAGATAGCCCTCATGTAGCTTTGCGTGAAATTCAAAAATAAACAAACAAATTCTCCTTACTTGTGTAGTTTTTTGTAACCAAAATATATATATATATATATATATATATATATTATTTTTTTTTAAAACTATTACTGTGCCTGTATTTAAATATATTTTTATTATTATTCTGTTGCTTTATATTAAAAACCTAATAATAATGATCCAATTAATACCCATAATTAATGTAATGGCTATTTTTACATGAGATTTTTAACCTGTTTCAGGTTTGTCCAGTCAAGATCTGCGATTTTGATTTAAGCAGTGGGATCATCTATGGCGGTACTACTCCAGTCAGCACACCAGAGCTTCTGACTCCTGTTGGCTCAGCTGAGTTCATGGCACCAGAAGTAGTTGAGGCTTTTACTGGTGAGGCTACTACGTATGACAAGCGTTGTGATTTGTGGAGTCTTGGTGTGATCATGTAAGTGGATCTGAAACTGCTATAAGATCTAAACGCTTGTCTTCGTTTAATTAAAAACTTGTTATTTATAATCACATATTGAATAAAGGTGATTATGTATAAATAATCAACTAAATTTAAAATCTCTTCCAGGTATATATTATTGTGTGGTTACCCTCCATTTTATGGACGCTGTGGAAGTGACTGTGGATGGGAGCGTGGTGAATTTTGTGAAGGTTGCCAGGTAGGCGTTAAAATACATTTTTATTTGGTAATTAGATATTTAGTTTCTATATAGTTAAGTATTTAGTATGACTTTGTGGTTAATAGTGATAGAAGAACACAATATCGTGTATAGCAATTAGTGAAAAACCCACAGTAAACGGAACAAACTGTCAGAAGTCTGATTATTAAGTCCTTATGTTGGCTACAACACTAACATTGAACCCCTTGAGAAAATGTTAAGGAAGACTAGCTTTAGAATAATATACAAATATCTGAACACCATTAAAAATAACCTAACTTCAAACAGAAAAACACCGGAAGATAAAAAAACAAAACAAGGTGTTTATATTATACCGCGCCAATCCTGTGAGAAAGGTAATGTAGTTGAAATTGGAAGAAGTGTTGACACCACGAGAGTTTCTGAACATAGAAAAAGAAGACTTAAAATATGGAAACCAAAACAATGCCATTTTTCTTCATACGAGAGATTCTGGCCATCAGATTGATTGGAAATCAACAAGAATTTTATACAAAACAGATAACTACGTAAAGAGAAGAATCATCGAACGTTGTTTAATCAAAAGCCTGCCTAATTACAACACCTCCCAAGATCACTTTAAACACAACTTCCTGACCTCCCATGTCCTTAAGGGAATTCCAAGGTCAGGGATCACGTAGGCATTTGTTAACCAGTTTTTTTTTCCTGCCAGAAGACAATGCGAGACTAAAGAGGCCGCACGAATGTGTCGAAACTAGTTTCTACGATATCGGACTTCTGATTCGTTTTCTGTGGTTTTTCACTAACTGACTTTGTGGTTCCACTGGCAATGTAACATTTATACTTTATATTGTGAGGAATTAGGATAACGGGCAACTCGGCGTCATTTACCTAAACATTGTTCTGTTTTGGCACGAGCCCTAAAGATTTATAAACTAAATTTATAATCTATAAAACATAAGTAATTTTTCTGTTGAGGCCTCAATGTCGAACTCTGCCTCTGATATATCTTTATTGTATGTTTGCAAAAGTTCATGTGTTGGTAAGGAACATAATTATGTAATAATGAACATAAAATTAGATAATAAATGTTGGACTATTTTTACTGTTGTATGTTAGTTTGCACTCCAGTAAATGATGTACAAGTGTCAATTTTTGTTTTTTTTCCCTTCTTCTTCTTCCAATAGTAGCCTAAAATACCTTTTTATCTTATGGTCTCCAATTACTTCTTCCCCTCTCTTGGTTTGAGGGGGGGGGAGCTAGAAAACTATGGAAGTGCCCCTTTAGAAAATTTTGTATTTGCAAATGTCACCCTTTAAAATCACTTTGATACAATCGGCGGATAATGTGTTCCTTGAACGCAACACTGTTTTTACCTAAAGAAAATTCCTTCGTGGTTTGTTTTGTTTTTAGGTTATGTAGCCACTTCTTTATTTCCACTTTTCTGGATTCATCTTTGGATCTAACAAAGTTTGGTGAAAATGTAACTCTTTGTTCATATAACCATGTATCTTGCACACAGCCATGTTTCTCAGCAGGTGCTTGTCTATTAACTAGAGGGCAAGGTCATGAATAGAGGCAGTCCAAATATGGAGAGCATATTTCTTGGAAATCATGGGAAAAATGTAAAGGTGATAAAATAAAGAAATTAGAATTTTGGAGATACACCTAAAGATTTTAAAGGTGACTAAATTTTTTAATTTTCTTGGTGACCTTTCAAGCAAATACGCTTGTTTCCGGCTCAGAAAAAGCCTCTGTTTGTGGCAAACTACTGCAGTATAATTTGAAAGGAATACAACGCATGAAGAAAACGTTACACAAGGTAGAAAGATGAGATTTTAATGATATAGTAATGACGGTATAACAACACTAAAGAAAAGTAGCAAACTATTGAATAATACTTCGGACAGAAAAGATGTATGTATCTGTAGATGTCGTGGCCACAGAAACAAATCAATACGTGACAGCTGAAATGAACAAACTGCGACCATTGCCAAGAGAACCATGTCTAAAATACTGGAAGGACACAAGGGTACAACAGAAATTATAAAGTTTCTTGCCTTGTTGATTCACAATGGTCCAAAATAACCTTCCTACCTTGGAGCACTACTAGAGTACTTATATTCTGTACAAGACATCATTTTTCAGTGGTTTTACGAGTTGAGACTACTTCCAAATGCTCTTACATTTTTGGCATTTTGCAGACAATTGTCAACCTCGGGTTTGGGTGACTCCAAGTTGGTTAAAAGTGAATGAAAGGTCTACACATGATTACAATGTTTGGGTTCCAGATGAAGATTTACAGATCTGGTGTCTAGGCATGGCTTCCGCTTACCTTATTGGACGTTTTATAATTCTTACTTAACACTTAGTAGTAGTTCACAAGTCAGTTAATTAAGACACTAATCATTACAACAACGAAAAAAGCTACTAAAACAGTACAACATTACGAACCTCTCCTGGATCCAAAGTATCATGAACTTGTTGATGCACAAATTCTTTCTGGATTTCAGTAATGAAATGATCCATATTTACCATCCAAGAAAGGATTTGGGCATCAACGAGTCCATCATACTTTGGCATGGCAGGCTCTTGTTTTGACAGTATATCAAAACATAAATATTAAATTAAACTCTATGAAGTATGCAAATCTTGAGGTCTGGTGCTGAACATTTACATATACTCTGGAAATGGCCTTGATTATGATGCTGGCTCTTGTACTTGATCTGTTGGCTGATTACCTGAACAAAGGTCATGTTGTGTACATGGATGATTATTACAATTCTGTGAGTTTGGTGAAAAAACTGACTGAGTGATCAACCTACATATGTGGAACACTCCGGTTTGACTGTGAAGAGAATCCAAAGGATGTAGTCCAGAAAAAGTTGAAGAAGAGTGAACACGAATGGAAGTGGTCAGACTTGGTGGTAGTTTGTAAATGGAAGGACAAATGGGAAATGCTCACAATAAGCAACATGCATAGAGTGGAGATAGTTTCGAAGAAACTCAGTATAGTAAGCAATTATAACAACAATGGCATGTCCGGGATAGACCGATCTGACCAAATGTTGTCGTATTACTCAGCTCTATGTAAGGCAATATGATATTACAAGAAGATTACCCTTCACATCACCAAGATATTTATTCTGAATAGCCACATCCTGTACAATGAAAGTAGAGGGCAACAAATGAAACTGTTTAATTGTCGTGAACATGTAACGATTCATCTTATAGGTAATACCATGAAGAATTTTCAAGGCCAGGGTCAGCGTGCACCCCCAATTCCATTGCCAATAGTTGAATTGTTTCACTACCTCACGTGTTGCTACCAATGGGAAAGAAAGAGAAGCCAAATAAACCATGTCGTGTCTGCACTAAGGCTGGTAGGAGACGATCAACCAGCCACATTTGGGATGTCTGCCCTGAAAAACCAGCCCTCTGTATAGATAAATGCTTCAAGGAGTACCATGTGCCTCAATAATGGACAGATAAACAAGAAGACAAAGACATTTATACTCATTTGCTGGACATCATTTTTTGTCATTTGGTTATGATGTAAGAAATTGTTAGTTCGTGAACCATTGAAAGAATAAAATCATAAAATTTGAAAATGTTTATTGATCATAAATTTGTTATTGATTCAGACCTGATGAACAATGCCACGGATCACGTAGAATTAAGCCTATTTTAGTTAGAATCATTTATTTTCATGTTGTAACCATCTCTTCTCTAGTATTAGTTGCGTTGAAGTGAGCTTTATGGAGGTATCGTGTTTGCACACTAAGTTCAGTGGCACAAATTCGATCATGATTATTACATAGACTTATGTTCCCCAAACTCCCAGCAGATTGGTTGTTATATTATCTGGAAAGCCAGCATTTTCGGTTTACTGTACAATAGTGTAATCTTTTCTACAAGTATTCATGTAATTGGCAAATCTGGTACACCCTATGAGTATACTTGTAGTTGGCAATCAACATGTTAAAGAAAGTATATAAGTTGTTATTAAATTTGCCGCAAGTTCAAGCATATTGCAGAATGCAAACAATTTATTAGGCCTTATAACTTAGATTTTGTAATTAGATAGGCCAGTGCTTAAAAAATCCAAAAACGGGATGAGCTTGCATATAGTTTTAGATAAATACAAACAATTGTTAACTTTCTCTAAACTTGTTAAAAAGGTTATTTTTACAAGAAACCATCTTGCTTAAAATAGTGAACTGGATTGCACTTAGAAAATAAATTCAGTCATAAATTATTGGCTAAAGTTAGGTTAGACGTAACATGGTGGTAATTGGATAATAATGTAATATTTTTTTTATAAATATTTGAAAACAATAATGTCTTTTGACCTAATACAAGTATAACTACAAAAATATGCTATTTTTTTTTTTGCCCCCTCATTGACTTAGTTTGCTGTGGTTTGCATAATGGAATTATTTAACTTTGCTACTAAACAAATGTTTGTCATTCTAAAAAAGTAATATATTTACAGTAAGTAAAAACATAATTTTTTTTAACCCTTCCAAGATGGTCACGGGTGAAAGGTCATGTCATCTCATTTGTTGACTCTCAATCAAAATTTTATTGAACTACTATTTCACGAATTTATGTCAATAACTTTGGTATCAAACTGTAGATTATAATTCAAATTTTAATACTATGTATTACTCAATTTCTTAATTTAAAATTGAATATTAAAAAAATGCAAATAAACATTGATTTTTGTGTGTGTCATGTGGTATGTTGGATGCAGCACTGGTTCAAATTAGATGTTTATGAAGTCAAAATATTAAGTCTGTAGTTTCGTATGAGTTTGAAACTCAAATTAACGATATTGACAAGCTAGAATATAAAATAAGAGCCTCGTTTCTTTTCAATTTGCTAAGATATTGCTCATGTAATAAATCAAACACAGTGGCACCCCACCCACCTCCTTTATATATATACTTACTTCTATATATGACTTGAATAACCAATTGGAAGCTCAGAATGTCCCCCTAGTGGCTTTCTCAGCAATTTTAATGGGCCTGGACACAGTTGTTGTTTTTTTCCAAGGAAGTAGGGTGTCTTTAGTCTGCTCAAAATTTCATGTTTTTTTAGAATAAATTCATCTTAGTTATCAAGCTTGATAAATTATAGTAAAAGTCTATGGTATTAATGTAGTAATTTTTTTTTTAAGTTATTAAAATATAAAACCTAAAAAAATTTATTTTGTTTCATATCCTCCAAATTTTTTAAAGGCTTAGCAACTTATGTCAAGCAGCAACTGAATACAAAGGTCATAACTAGAAGAGATAATTGTTTGCTTTACTTCTTTATTTACTGTTCTATGTTTTAAGAAAAATATGTTTAAGAACTTATTTCAAAATAGCAATAATCTTTATACATATATGATGTATAATAATAGAAATGTGACTGTGTAAAGAAAATACTAGTCTACTAAAACACAGCCAAGACAAGCTACGTTGTACAGACCAAAGGTCAGTTTTATATTGTACGGTAACATGAGTGCACGTGAGCCGCGTCATTGTAACTTCTGTATTGTTAGCCAGGCATGGCTGAAAGGTCAATATAGTAAAAATAATAAATATGTATATAAATGTATAATGTTATGAGAGTAAACCTATGTAGTTTAAACATTTATGTTTTCGTG